GTGTATTGTTTTGCTGTTGAATTTTTAATAAATGTATTCATGGTTTTGACGCATAACTGAGTTTTCAATATTTACAATCCGGTAAAATTTCTTTACGGGATAGTAGCACGTAATGAAATATTACGTGCGCCTATCCTGTAAAAGTCTATTTTCTGGATTGAAATCAGGTACGTAAAGGTATGTTCTATGATGCAGTATGAAATAAAAGCATATTATTAAAAACAGAGGATATCTGACATGTGGCACGCATACCTGGAAGCTTTACAAGTTGTATAACTATAGTTACCTACAATTCCTGTTGTAAGTTACAGGAAGCTTTATAAAAAACGAGATTAACCCCATTCAAATCACTGCGGAAGAGACATAAACACTTACGAAACCATAGTCGTCTCACTGAAAATTTATTAAGATTCAAGACAAAATATTATTCCATCATCACTAAATCAAAATAAACTGATCAACAAAACAAACGTCGTGATCCAAGATATAGGCTGAATTCGAAATAGAAGAACGCGTGGAGCCCATAACTAATTTCTATTCGGTTTTCACAGTTGGTTAGCCCTTTTCAGTGACACCCCAAAGCAATATGAGAATACAGAAATTTTTGATGAATATTCTCCAGGATGATGAGTATTGAAATAGTGTAAAATTGCAGCGGTGTAGTTATGTTCCCGTTTGAGCAAATATATTCAATAATTTATCATTCAAATCAATTTCGAAATCAATTTGAATCAAAGCTTTGAGAAAAAGGTTGCATTCCATCAACGAGTAATTAAATAACATTGCGAATGTTCGTAATCTTTGTGGATAGTTCTTGATGATGTGAGAGTGTTTGGATACAAAAACTAAAAATGAGGTTCCTCTATATACAGGACGAAACATGGGTTTTCCAATTCCATAAATGAAATTATGGAGTTTCTGACCAGACAGTCAGAAGTACTTGGAGCTAGAAGACGTGCTGGCTGTTCACTGCTTAGAAAACTATGAATAAATTTGAAAATGTTCAAAAGGTATTGGAATATCTCTCTGAATACGCAACTTTTTTCTCACTTCCGAACCAAATTAATCATTCCAGAATTACGTCATTTGACAGATTGCTGAGGGGCAAACATTGTATTTTGTCAAGATTTGTCATATAAACCAGAATTAGTTGGATCGTATTCCTCGGAATCCGAGTTGGAATCAGAAAGAATTCCATAATTTTGTTTGGTGAAACATGGTGAAACTATGGCTAGGGCTATGCACATCGAAGGTAACCTAACAGATAGTTTGTGTGCCTCTCAAGGAACCATGTCAAAATCACGTGTTCTGGAATGGTCAATACGTATGTCCTACCGTTTCCGTGATCCACATGCTGTGCAACCTTATCCATGTTCACTCTATACAGGGTGTTGCGAAATTCGACCGACAACGTTTGACAGGTGATAGCCCTCGTGATTTCATAATCACTGAGATAGGGACATACGATCTTCAAGTGTTCAGTTCTCGAGATACAGGGCGTTGAAGTTAAGATATCTCAAGATAAATTGAATATAATGCATTCAAATTCGATATATGGTTTCATCTTCCAATGGTTAATTCTTTGACCAGAGAGACATTCCGAGAATTTTATCCAGAGGTGCGCTACAGAGGGTTGTGATAACTTTTCCGCCCATATTTTCTACGCCACTGATGAAATTTCAGTTATTTCCAATTTCTCGAATTGATTGTTCAATTATGTTGAAAAAATGCATCACCTTCAACTGAACTGAAATGAACAGTTGTTTGACCCAAAATAGAATGCATAGTAATTTTTCATCTTTCTCAGTAGTAGAAAATTACAAAAATTTCTGTTTTTTCTTAATGCGTGAAATAACTATTTCTGTTCAGCTACAGAATGATATCTGAATAGTATCTAATCTACTCAACACCAGAAAAATATTTTTGCAATTTTCTACTACTGAAAATGATGAAATATTACTATGCAATCTTCTATTTTGGGTCGAATATCTTGAAAACTGTTTATTTCAGCTCAGTTGAAGGTGATGCATTTTTTGAACAAAATTGAACAATGAAATCGAGGAATTAAAAATAATTGAAATTTAATCAGTGGCGTATAAAATATGGGAGGAAAAGTTGCTACACCCCCCTGTAGGGCACCACTGGATAAAATTTCCGGAATGGCTTCCTCGTCAAAAAATGACTCATTCAAAGATGAAACCATATACCGAAGTTGAATGCATTATATTCAATTTTTCTTGAGATATTGCGAAACAACTATTTTTATTTCTTAACTTTAACGCCCTGTATCTCGAGAACTGAACACTTGAAAACCGTATGTCCCTATCTCAGTGATTATGAAATCATGAGGGCTATCTCCTGTCAAGCGTTGTCGGTCGAATTTCGCAACACCCTGTATACGATATGATTTATGTATTATGTACCTATATCTCATGAATCTTGCAATTAGCTCAATTGACAGAATTATCTTGCAATTATAATTTCGAACAAACAAAATGCAATTAGCCCAATTCGCAGCAGAAGCCAAATTCACTTCACGCATTGAATAGGAGTAAATAATGGTAGGTTTCATAGCTAGTGGTGAAAAAAAAAAACAATGATATCTACTAAGTAAGTACTAGCTACGAAAACGCATTTTGTGTCACTCTGTAGTTTGCGGGATCTCGCTTGACATGTCCCTCAAAATCCCATCGTCACACAAAATGACGCGTTTCCTAAAACGCGCCATTTTGTGTGACGATGGGATTTTGCGGGATCTCATATCGCGCGTTCGCAGCAAAATCCCATCTGAGCTGAAAGAAAAGGCATAAGGAAAGAAATTGAGGAACTGACACAAGATAGGAAAGCATGGAGAGATATATGGAGGAGAAAGCCGTAACTCGATACGCCTGACACCTAACGGTATAAAGGCATACACACAGAAAAAAATATCTTTGAATGAGAAATCCATTTTCTTCAAAATTCAATTGTGTATCTTCTTTGAATTGAGCATAATCTTTTGAGTCGAAAAATCTGGAAATATATTCTCAAACCAAGAATGCAAATATTCAGTTACTAAATATTCCAATTCGCAGAAGCGTACTATTTTGTTTCAATCAAGTCACTGCTTTGAATCGAATGATATATCCAGTTTTCTCAAATTGCAAGAAACTAATATATATGTTGAGGCAATACGTAATTTTCTTGATACAAAAATATAAATAATTATATCTTCAAATGAAGCATTCTAATTTCATCATATTGATATTACAATTTCATCAATTCGAAGACTTCGGATAGTTCCAATATGCCATATTTACTTGATTAATAAATATGAATATCGCAATTTTCTCAGATGAAAGAAATGTAATATCTTCAACTTGATGATATTAATAATTTTTCTAATTGAAGAAGCAACATTTTGATTCACTACTTTATTTACTTGATTCAAGTCTATGGAGGTATTTCTTTGAATGAAAATAATATGCCCTCGAAAATCAAGGATGAGCAATCCTTTTGCCAAAACTCAGTCCTCAGTCTACAATCATTATTGACAATGCTTACAATCGTGATCATTATAACAGGCCCACACCGGCGAAAAAAATTTGAATGTTATATTGAGTGTGTATAGGTGTGAATTGTCTTAAAACATAAATATCTAACGAATGCTGAACTAGTAGAGAGCTGGTGAAGGTACAACATTGAATTTCTTTGGTAAGTAGGTACCTTTGCAAATTTCGGTAGTCATTGTGAGTGAATCAACAATTTTTCAATCAAAATAATAGGAATTAAGTAATATCTTGCTATACGAAATTCTTTTATAGTAAAATGATGACTGGTTGATGAATGAAGAAGTATTATCTACAAATGAGGTATTGCAAAGACTTGGAAAAACCTTGAAATTAGGTGAGAAAAAGTTTCCTCCCGAGTATCTCGAATCTATATACCCGATATCTTTCAGAAGACATGATATTACTGGTATCACGATATTACATATTCTAGAGGTGAGTTTTTAATCAATTACAATACTTATGCCATTGTTTGTGACCGTTATCATTTCCAGCAAAACTTCAAGAAGACGACATCAATGCATGTGATTATTCTATAACCATTTGCGGTCATGATGCAAGATGTATACCTATACATGGGATTATTGTCAACTAGAGAAACAAAAATATATTTCTTCACGAATATTCTGTGGAGTTTAGTTATCTCATTAGGAATCATTCACAGTTTTGAATCAAAAACATTATTATATTTTCAACTAAGCAGTCAATATTTTGATACAAAAAATAGTCCCATTGCAGAGAACGAGCTTAATTTTCATTATTAAAAACTCATGAATTCGGATCGAAAATATCAATGTGTTTATTGACTAAATTAAATCGTTCATTTTGAAATGAAAGAGAACAATGCTCAACAGTAGCAATCCATAGTTGCAAATTAAGAAAATGATTGTCTTCACTTGGTGGATGGATTTCATACCCCAAAATTATGGTTTTCCTGAAATGAGTAAATGGTTTTGTCAATCCGAATTAACTTCATTCTCACTTCAACATAACAAACGTCTCCAACCATGCATATCCCAATATTCCTACAAGATACTTGTTGAATAAATCATTGTTTCGGAATAAGAATATCATCTGTTTCGTTATATCTATGGTTATATACAAACAAATTATTTTCTTGGACCAATGCAGCTATGCTCAATACAAGAGATTCTTTTCTGTGTGTAGTATCAGGTAAGCAAGTAAAGTTTTGAAAAGTGTCAAATTACATATCAAAATAAGAAAAAGTTCCGTTTTCCATGAGATTGTTATTCTGTGGTAGAGGGGCTGGGCCCATCATAGTTTTTTTGAAATGTTGAATACCCTCCACATCTTTCCGTATGACCGCCTCTGTTCACTCCCGGTAGTTCTTCCATTGACTTATTTTAAGCAGGCGAAGCTGAGCTAGCGCCCCACCACAGTGACGTCACGTGCCGTGGATCCAGAGATCCAGAGAGACAACCAGGCATGCTGATGCTGCATAATTAACAAATGCACATCGGCTGGCACCCTTGATTAACCATCACATATGTCGGTGACTTTTCGTCGTTTAAGATGTGAATCGGTGAATCATCTCAATTGTTTTGCTCGAAACGTTTGACAGCTTCCGACGCTCTTCAGTAATTACTTATTTATGATTCGGGAATGATTTTTATTTTGGTGTTGGGTTTCTTTCGGTGCGCGGTGTTAATTTTGTGATAGTTGAGTTTTTTGGTATCAGGAAACGACTCGAAGGCAAGTAAGACATATATTTCTATTTTGAGACATAGGCCTATCAACCTGAAAAATATCAACACGTGCAAATGATCACAATCAACATAATTTTACACTATATTATTTTGTGCCAAGAGATGTATATCTGCTAACGCGAGTATATATAGGTTTTTAACTTTCCAAAACTTTTTAATGCAATACTAGGAAAACAGCAGGTATGTAGAATAATTTTTCGAAATTCTGAGTTCTGAATTGATAGTGATACAAATGAATACATACATAATTATTATTGAATTAACTGAATAGATCTTTAATTTTGGGATATTTGGCTCATAAAATTGATACATCATTAATGGATTTGATAATAATATTGGAATTATACGACAGACATTTCAAATACAAAAATTTTTCATCATTTGAGAGGTTATTATTTTTTTTGCAATTATTTCACATATTTTTTTAAAAATCTCCATCAAGATATTGATGATATTAATTCTTATTATATAAACCTAGACCATAGACCATATTGATGACAAAGAAATTCAAATTTAAATTCAATGAAGATTGAGCAAGTCAAAATATTCCACTTTCACCACAATCAGGTATATATTTTGAGCGACACCTTATAATGTTTTTCGAAGATGTCTTCCATAAATTATTCAAATCATGTGACAGAAAAACACCTATCATTCCTTCATCAACAAGAGTTGAACATATCAACAAATAGGTATTCTATTTCCAAATGTGGAATGAAATATACTACAGGGTGCCCGGAAATTAGGCGCAAAGAATCAAGGGGGTGATTCTACATGATAAAATAAGAATTTCATTTCATATGTACGTGGGTCCGGATATGCATAGTTTTCAACATACCGTGTGTAAAAACTTTTAAAAAAGTTCGGTTTTTTATGAATATCTCAAATGTCCTTCCACCGATTTTCTTAAAAATTTGGCAATGATATTTCTTGTTATGAGGGGCTGATATAGCGATAATTCAATCGGGATTATGAAAGTCAGTGGCGTTCCAGGGGGCAACGTAGCGAATATTATTGTCAATAAATTGTGCGCCACTGATTTTTTGAATTCTTTATCTTTATAACCTATTAACCAACTAAAAATACAACTTTTTGGTCTCTCGAATTGTTCTGAAAATTTGCTTCATTTCCATGGAAAAAAATAAATACCAATTTATTGCATGAATTTGTGCCAAAAAATTCCTTTAAAAACTGGGGTGAAAATAAATACGTGATCAATGTCCATAGACATAGAATAAGTATGAAGATTCATTCTCTTCAAATATTTCTTGATAAATGTTTGACACATTCTACGTCTATGGACATGGATCACACATTTAATTTCACCCCTGTTTTTGAAGCTTTGTTTTGCACAAATTTATACAAATGAATTGGTATTTATTTTTTTCCACGAAAACGCAGCAAAATTGTGCAAAACAATTCAGGAGACCAAAATGTTGTATTCTTAGTTAATTATTAGCAAAGATTACTGAATTCTAGAAGATAGTTCACTTAGTGAAATCCGTTTGTCGGTACAGCCCAACATTGCATTTTTTGCTTTTCTATAAATCATTGCACCGCCAAACGGTTGCGGTCGGCTGACAGCTAATTAGATTGCGATTTCAAAGGCCCCGGCAGTCGTTAGCCGGCAGAATCCAGCGGTCGGCTAGGTTGCGGCGAGATCTCTTAGAAGTCGAAAAATGAACGAGTGAACTGTCTTATAGTTTATCTTCTGTAGTCTATGTTATTAGGATATGACGATGTAGAATTTGAAAAAATCAGTGGCGCACATTTTATTGACAATAATATTCGGTAGGGTGCCCCCGGGACGCCACTGGATTTCACAATTCCAATTCAATTATGGCTAAATCAGCCCCTCATGACAAAGAATATTATTGCCAAATTTAGAGAGAATCGGTGAAAGGATATTTGAGATATTCATAAATAACCGATTTTTTTAAAAAGTTCGACACACTGTATCTTGAAAACTATGCATTTCCGGACCCTATAGTATATATATGAAATAAATCTCATGTATTCTCATGCAGAATCACCCCCTTGATTTTTTGCGCATAATTTCCGGACACCCTGTATAGGTGATTTATCCAAAGGCATATATCCACTTTAGCCATGACCTTCCTCATCTCTTGTTTTGTAAAATAATTTGAGATTCACAGACAAATCTATGAAAGAATTCGATTTTTTGAAAACAAGAATGTTATGGGACTTATGGAAGGTCTCGAAATGAACGCAAAGACTCAAAGACATTATACATAATATTTCATTGTATAATTATGGTGAATAAACCCCGTAATAAACGAATGTAATAATATGAATGAAAATGTACAATTAAAAAGAAGCAAGAACCAATTAAATAATGTATGTTGTTTCAACAGGAATTGAGCAATTGAATCCTAAAAAAAATTCACTATTTGGATTAGGTACATCACCATATTAAAACAAATTCAAATCATATACCTACAAGGCATTTCATTACTAATTGGAAATATTTAAACTATTTAATCCTGTAATCCTGAGCTCAAATATGAAAATCTTACCCAAATCACACAGATAAAATGTGTTTCCTCTCTGAGTAACGGGGTGTTTCAATTGAAAATTAAAAAAATATTTGTGCCCGTTGACGTATCATTGTAATATTCGGCGGGAAGTGTAGATACCATACACCCTACTGAATTTTGTGAAATGAAAGTTTCAGGATACTACCAGAGGCGTACGACAGGGACAAGGGCGACTGGTCGATTGTTCACAAATTCTACGCCACTGACGGAATTGCCATTTTATCACAATTTTTGGATTTTCCAATACTTTCTACATAAATATCGTATACTGTCACAAATAGGGTTATTTTTCATTCATTCATTCAAATTCATACAAGGTTCGAAGTCATTGAACGGTCGCGTCTTTGTTTATTAATTCCAAAATTTTCGAATCGTGAACGAACTCTTTTTTCCATAGTTGAACATAAACACAGGCGTGACATTGACTTCAACGAACCTGGACTATCGACCTGATTTCCTTACTGTCACGTTTCCGAAAATAAAGACAACTATTTAAAAGACGTAAGGAAGCGGGTTCGACAGTTGGACTACCGGTCCGACTGCGAGTTGGACTACCGGTTCGACTGCGAGTTGGACTGCCAGTTCTAGTTGTAGTCCTTTTTTTTGAGTACGAGTCTGGGAAGTTTGAGTTCTATCAATTGTAAGTCTGAAAAGTTGCCACTGTGCCCGAACCTTCGGAGTTCGGGCAGAACAGAAGATGCCCTTCCTCAGGCCCCAAGAAATAGCAGTTAATTTGTAAATGTAGGGTAAGTTTAGTTTTTATTAATTGTTATTCATTGGCAAGAATAAATGTGTTGTTCGAAATCCCTTTTGAGTTTATTTATTATTATCACTTTTTGAAGTTCATTCTCTAATGGATCTAGAACACAACTTAGGAAACCCCCGCCTACAGTTTGTGACAATACACCTACTCTTTCTTCATAGCGATTAAGTCATTATTTCTCAAGATATTCCAAGTTAAACATGAACCGGATGTACATTTCTTTTCATTTTGATGTGTCTCAATTATATCGATGTTTTGGATCATTGGATTGCATTTATTACGCAAATATGAAGCTTCGATCCATGAAAACATAATAATTATTCGAGCCGGTAACAGACGAGAGACATTTTATGTAGACGATTTGAGCTCAGGGTTTTATACCCTAAATATTTACAATTAGTAATGAAACACCCTGTATACAGTGTGACCAACCAGACCAGAGCACCCTTATGAAATCTTCAGTTTCCAACCGATTCAAATTTCTTTGTTTCAGCTGAAAGACGATCAAATCATCTACGTTTACAAAGATTTGCGAAAAATTCCAATTATTGTTATAAATTGCATATTATTATAAGAGATTTTTTCGAGAAAATTCGACACCATCACTGATGCATTCAGCATCATTCAGTTAGGTTGATTGCGAAATTCTATTCAAATATTTTGATTGCTGCAATGTTATAATATTTCAGACAAATTCGAGAAGGGGCAATATTGTCAATGTAGGTAATTATTGAGGTTTCTGTTATATACACATTCTAACTCATGGCACGAATCATTCCCGATATTACCACATACAGGGTGTTTCAAAATGCCTTATCAAGATCCTTGGATGTTTGAATTTGAGGAAATTATCAAGTTTTGTTTTCATTGAGCCTTTAAAACTACCGAATTAAATACCATCTGTCTAATTAAAAGTTCTACAATAAAATTAATTAGTCTGAAGATGGTCTATTCTGAGACCGTAACATGTCCCTGATTGTGTAACAACATCATTGAAATTTGTGAAGATGACTTCGATACTTCGAGCATTCCTTCATTCCTTTGAATGATTTCACTCCACTTTGAGCAATATGGACTTCTACCAAAGATTTTTATCATTGTGTATAAAGAGTGCGCCTTCGCCTTTTTTTGAAATAATTTGAATTTTAAATAGGATGTTTTATACAGGGTTGTTTATGAACCACGGTACATAGGACTATTCGACTAGCTTACTTATTTTGGTATTTCCCTCGAGTCTGAAGAATCTGGAAAATTAATACAATACAAAGAATGTATTCTGTACCACTGTACCTCTTGTTATACAGGGTGTGAATGAAGTACGAACATATGTATGAGGTGATTAATTGTCATATCGCACCCCTAGTAATCTAAAGGCACAACTCAGAATGTTGTTCTTTCGAGTTTTTGTGATAGAAGGGCTCATTTCAAACAGTTCTACAATGTGGCTTAAAGGGAAAAAAGATAAAAATGAAGCAATAATTATTGTATTGTGCCGACCACCGTTCAAGCCGAACTTTCTGCGTATTGCCCGCGTGATGCTCAACTTGTATTTGTGCCTGTTTTTAACAAATTTGTTGCTGAGTATTGTAATATTTTTCTATTGAAAAGCATCAATTCTGAATAGTACCTCAAAACTACATTATCAGGAATATTCAATCTTAATACCTATCATCTTTTAATATTTAGAAAATTTGGAAGTGTTTCTATCGGGATTTTTTTTCGTACTCACGTCATCTTTTTCGCAATGTTCTTGCTAATGAGAACATAGTACACGTAATTGAAATGACGTATTCAAAATTGCAAAGTCGTAGCGCATTGAATCATTACTTTAGGGCTAATTGGGTGAATTCATCGGGTTCGCTAAATCGTTCAACCCGTTTCCCGACAAGTTGACCGTTTTGAGTTGTACCACTTGTACCTCAACATTACTAGGGGTGCGATATATACTTCATAAAAACAAGTACCTATAGGTAGGTTCCGAGAAAAAACTGTTTTTGTATTAATTACTCAAGTGTTTAATATCTATCACTGAAATTTGGTGGATTGGTAATGGAAAATGTAGCCTATCACTGAAATTTGGTGGATTGGTAATGGAAAATGTAGCTTCTTCTGGTGTAATTAGATTCGAAATTATGGATCGACCGATGAAGTACAATATCGGCGTATGTACATCGGTATCGGCAAAAAAAAATTAGGTGAATACTTCAGTAACTAAGGACCTTTCAAAGAAATTGAATCACTAATACTGCATTGAGAAAAAAGTTCGTTCCTATTTGAAATTTAACAAAAAAAAACATTGAAAATGTAAAAGTAACGCACCAAGGTCGAAAAGTTGATACTTAAAGTTCTGGCAAGTTATAATAATATAAAGGTCTATGGTTATAATGTGACAAAATTGAACTTCTTGCTCATCCAGGATCCTTGCTTACGGAGCATCGTTATCGTTGGATTCGTTACCCACTTCGGACTCCCCGGCATTATCTCTCAGCATAATGTTCATCTTGAATCAATTATGATCTCCATATCTCTTCATCTGAGGTGTGAGCTTCAAAATTAGCCTGAGATTTCAAAAATCGGTTGACGAAGAAAGAAGTTATGACTGCAAAACCAAAAAGTTAATTTTTTTAGATCACCCTGTAAACAAAAGAGATATGGAGACAATTCGAGAACTGTTTCAAGATAATAAGATCCCGAATAAGATCGTCTACATGCCTCTACTGTCAAATTTGAAAAAAAAGTTTTTCTTCATTTGGGATACTTTTGAAATTTCCGAAGTTTTGCACAGTTTCAGGTAACACCCTGTAGCGATTTTATGTGAAGAACCCTATGTTTTGAAGAATTACGAGATTATAGCTGGAGAACTGGTCTAGCGAACATTGTAATCCGAATTCAAATCCTTCAAACCAGAAAAAAATTATTTATATTTCAACAGAGACAAAATTTTGTGGTGCGACGAAATTAGTGTTTCGTAGTTTAGTTGTAAGTACAAATCGCATTACAGCTGAAAGCAGCTTTTGAAGTTTGAAAAATGTCCGGAATAATCTGGTTATTATTAATTCTAATAAAAATGTCACAACACAAATCATACGTGACTCTCGGTAGGAACACATATTTTGACCAATCAATACAATTTCAGCTATGGTGATCGATACTGAGTCGATACGATATGATTTAGATGCTTGTACCACTTCAATGATTGTTCAATGGTATCATGTGCGATATCCATGAGAATTAAATATTCCAGAACATATTGAAGAATACTGTATTTTCAATATCTACTTGCAATATTTTAGTATCCCTCCTAACTTCATGCAGACGGGGTACAAGCTTCTTATCAAAATGGATGTTCCTTGAAATTCTCACACGGTTTTGTAGCATTTCACAATGTCACCTGTAATTTCAATACAGCGTTTATTTTCTGACAGCCAAGTCGAATTTCCTTCAGTTTGTTTAACAACCAAGCGATAAAAAAAAAAAAAAAAAAAACCGAACTCCAATATACTTGATATATCGAAATTTCAGTAATAATATGCTGGACAATGCTAAATATACACGGTGAATGACATTGCTCCTTCAATGGTAATGAATATCTGAACTAATGAAAGATGTTGATTTTTTAGTGTTATCAGTGGAAACTAGTTATTTATTACACAAGGGAAAAAAGTTGTAGATTTTAACTCCAGGTTGTGTTGTCTCCTGACGCGTAGCGGAGGGAAACACAAGGATTCACCTCCTCTCACACCTTGTATTATATTAATATCCGATGATATTATCATGTTGTTTGTTTTTCAGATGTCTCCCACAGCCACCCTGATTTCACCTTCAAGCAACCTGTCCTCACCTCTGACCCTAACACGAAATCGACACCTAGAATACAGCAGCTCCGGATCTTCATCATCTCTGCTCACGTCATTTCCTGCCACCAATTGGTACCAGTACCAAGGAGGAGATCACTATCAAGTAATGAGTAATGGATGTATTTTTATTCTCCAGCTTCCAGATCTCACCCAGTAAAAATATGAAGCATAATATGCATATAAAAGTGGCGTTTTTGAGGGAAGGGTTAAATACACATACACCAAAATACAGGCCAACTAAACATGTGATGTTACAAAATATTGTCACAATATTAATGTAAAGCTTTCTTCCATGATATGAAAATGCAATATCATATCTATTTGCTGCTATATTCGTACACTAAACAAACCGATTTTTTAAACGCCTGGACACGTGTTTCGCTTACTATGTTAGCATCTTCAGGAGAAGATTGAAACTAAAGTAGTTTTTGAAATTGAAATTTTGAAAAAAAAAGATAATGGGCGTGTACACCTTAGTAGAACTTCCAACTCAAACCATGTTTATAATGATCCTTTTATACATAAATAATGATTGACGACATAATTCGATCGAAAAATTTACTGGAATGTTTTACTTTTGGACATAAATAAAAATACCTTCTGAAAACGGACCCTCTTATGACGTAGAAACCCCATCTCGCCATAGTTAAAAGAAAATACCAAACGCCCGACGGAGACTGAGGCAACTGATGTATCAATTCTTTCAACTGTGATCTCGCGCTAATTCACTCTGTCAGAAATCATGTAACATTCATCTCTGTCTGGAATAGTCTTGTTTCAGTATTAGGGTTTTGACGTCACATCATCGCCTCGTTGTCAGAGGTCCGAAAAATCGGGGGGATTTCAATAATTTTTTATAAAACGTAGGGAGCTCACAGCAAGAAACGGATTGCGATGGTGAGCTAGTTCGGGTGAGTTCTATCGAATTATGAAATAATTTTTTTTTTGTGATAGGCCCATCAATACCTGTTCCTCATGTTTCCATATCATTCCAAATATCCTCAAGTTTGGAGTTATTTGGAATGATTATGAGTTTGCATATGAAAAATCATCTGATTTCAACCTCATACCACAGTTTCTCATACCAAATAGCCACATGGTATTATGGTATATTGGGAATTTTCTTCACAGAAATATCATTTTTTATTTTAGGAATGATGCATATTTGTCACATATTTATAAGTTCTTACATCGCATAACTTATTTTTATCAGCTCATTTAATAAAAACAAGTAAAAAGATCATGGATGACATTTATACATGTCAAAGGAGTCATAATACATCTCCTTTGTGAACATGTCTTCCACGGGAAATTTCTGGTGTAGATTATAGTAAACATACACACCGAGGTGGGAAGAGATTCATTCCTGTCGTGAGATTAGTTAGTTAGCTATGATCTCGAGACAGGAATGAAACTTCCTACCGAGGTTTGTATACTATTCAATTTAATGATAAAGATGGAAAGCCCTAATTTCGAGTGACAATGGAAAATGAAGAAACTCCACCGCCCCGTGTGAGAGTCGAAGTCACAACCTCTGGGTTACATGCCCAATACTGCTGTTAAGACATGAAAAACGGATTCATTTTAGTTCAAATTGAGGAAAATGGTTCGTTATGCCATTTACCAATAAAAAAATAAAAGAATAGTTGTAATTTGTACCTGTAATGCAGTAAGCTTGAAGTTACGGGAGATGTATTCGATATTTTTGTCTTAACACAATATCTGTACTATCCTGAAGGAAGTAAAGTCTATAGTCATAGAAAAAGTATAGTGTGTGGAATCGTGTGTAACTCCACTTCGTGCGTAATCTGCGTTTTACTATACTCTTGTTACGAAAGCACTATATTGTTTGACAACCGATCTTTTTTTCTCTTGGAGCGCACGAAAGGAAATTCCTATAGTGCGTACATAGGAAGGATAGGGAGAGGAGGTAGGTGTTGAGATTTTTCTGAACTTTTGGAGGTTATAAGTTCTTGGAGATATAATACTTCCATTGGCAAAGAATTGCAAAGCTTCGCCGTTCCATAGACGAACGAGATGTGCTGCCTGGGCTTGTCGAGTTCGTCTGACTGGTATTGCTAGTGATGGAATGATAGCAGGGATTCCTGAGGAACATTTCCCGTGGCAGTCTATGCAAAAGTAAAAGGTCGCCGACTTTTCTAAAGTGTTCTAATGAGGTAAAAGAGTTGGTGAGTGTGGTATCACCCACAAGGCCAATGGTAATTTTCTGGATGAAGGCTAAGAGCATCAGCGTATGTTTGGGTGCTGAACCCCATACCCCTTTGTGTACTATAATGGTTGCGTTATGGAGACACACCTCTAATAATTTTTACTCAGTCGCCTAGGGTATTTATATTGTAGCCACTTTCTGAAGAGCATGCGCAAATGTCCCTTCTCTTGATAGGAACCCGTACTGTGCCCGTACTATTCAGCTTATTCGAAAGGGAAGACATTTGTTTCAGACTAATGAACATGGTTCCATATACTGCCTTCGCTAATCAACTGTTTCATTCTATTTTTTCGTCTATTTCAATATGGCAGGTAAGGTTTCTTTTGCAAATTAATGAAAAACTCTTCGAAAAATGTCATAATAGTGGAAACATAGAAATTCTATCGGAGAATAATTTTATTTCTCGCCAGAAAGTTGGTGGCCTCGCGTTGTGGACACAAGGGAAATAGTACCCCTCCAGTTTTTTTGTTCAGATGAAAAATTGTTCTCATTTCGCTCTACTTGTTATGTCAAATTATATCTCAGCGACCAGAAAAATTGTTTCTCTCAATATCATTCCAATAAACATTTGTGATTATGTTGATAGCTGAAATAGTAGTAGTACATGCACTTCGTTGGTATATATGTACACAACAACTGGTCAACGACCACCATTGAGGTTCATTAGCCCAAAGTGTTCTGCATTGTATGTTCTGTGCAGGCTTTGTTACTGACTCCATAAGCCAACTTAGAAGCAGCACTGTGAATAAGAATGCAATAGTGAATCATGCAGGACTATCCCCAGTCGATGCTCTAAAACTCAACAATATTGAGTCAAATATTAGAAACATTCTTTGCCCTGCTGGGCTGGGATTCGAACCCACGACCTCGCGGCCATGAGTCGGGCGCTCGTCCACTGCGTCAATCTCGACTGAAACGAATTAGTGGAAATTCATCTTGAGTGATTTGAACAATGTTTATTGCCTAGTGTCTTCAAACCGGGGACACGTCCTGAAGCTTTCAGCCAAGGTCTAAAAATAAATTGACATGCATATTCACCTTCTAGAATCACATGTGAATGAATTTGTGCATTTTTCTATTGAAATATATCGAGTAAATAAATTCCGGCCTCTAAGGTATACATCAGAACAGTATTCTGAAACTGTCGAGGTGTAATAGTATATTATTCGACGAGCGTGTAATGATGGCCATTACTCATGAGAATGAAGTTTGCGACGTGAGCCGCAGGCGAACGTCGTAATCATTCGAATGAGTAATAGCCATTACACGCAAGTAGAATACTATACTTTTTTTATGACTGAGTGATGAACTGGTTGAGTTCATCAGCAGTGAATATCTTCGCTTTCTCTGACATATATCCATCAGATTTCTTTTTTAGAAATGCTCGTAATTTCAAATATTTGTCAATATTCACATAAGTTTTTATTGAAATTGTGCTTCTTAGTATATGCATGGAATACTGTGACCACAAGGAGGATGCTTTGTGTTTAGCTGCTAATTCGCCAAAATAGGCTAGCAGTACATTATCCGAAAACGAATTTGCAAGTTTTGCTTTTCGCCAAACCACTTCATACCTTTTTTTAGATTCCTCGGGCAAAAGGCTGATTGTACTTGAATTGGCAGCTTTTAAAACTTCTGATGGTGGAGAGCAGTTGAATTCATTTTCGCTTTCTGAATCCATATTTGTATGTACATACAAAAAGTCAGTTCTAAATCACGCCAGATAGCTATTGTCAAATTATGACATTTCATGACGAGACTGATTCAAACGTTTCACTGCATGCCCCATATTATCATTACAACTGGTGTCAACTGTTTTGTAGGTAATGAATCTGCTTTGTTGCTGATTGGCCATAGTCTGTTGTGTAAAGGCTCTTACACACGGGGCGCGGCTTGTTTTGTGTAATGCATCCAGTTACCCAACAAAAATGTTACATTAAAAGGGTCTAGTTTTCAACAGTCATAGAAAAACTAATTATTCTCCTTTTCAGCCAAAACTGCTCAGCCCCCCATCCGGATCATGGAACACCTTCTCGACCGCCCAACAGTACCCGTTCAACGTTTACAGTCCCTACTACAGCAGCGATCCCCTTGCGGACATCATCGACCAATTCGCCGATCTGGCGGTTGATGGGCGGCAGCAGCCGCCCACGCAGCTGAAGAGGCCGCCCCCGGCCGCCTACTTGTGCCACCTGTGCTTCCGCAAAGGGCACTACATCAAGGACTGCCCGCAGGTGAGGGGCGGTTACAGTTTTTTTCGCCATATGTGGCAACAGCGCGCGACCAAAGCGGAATAATTCATTTTTTCTAGAACTGACACAAAAGTCGTCCATTTTGATACCAAAATTAGCTCTTGACTTGACGTTTCTATTACTTACACAAAAACAGGTATGTTGCTAGGCAACATATTTAGTTCCTAGAAGCTGAATATGAACTTTAGTTCCTAGGAGCTGAAGTTGAACTTTGGCTCCTAGGAACTAAAAAGGATGTACTAGAGGTCATCAAGAATACACAGCATTGTTATGGTTGGTTATTTGGGTTGAGACGCATACCTGATTTGTTTCAGATTTCGGCAGATTTGGCATTTCATATCCATGCGTTGATCTCCTCCAGAATCTTGTGATGCACTCTACCCTTCAATTTCCAAAGGCGGCACTTCGCATTTCGGGATAAAATTAACGTTTTTCGAATCACTTCGTTCCTCTTTTAGCGGTATTCAGCGACTGTCCACGCTGACCATTAATTGCGCAGCGCATGCGCAATCAGTCCAAGGATCCACGTGATTTTACTTTTTGCGGGAATACATACGACTAGGAAGAATAATCAGAATAAAAATTATCATACCTACTTAAACTAATGTAGGTAGTAGGAATGTGTGAATATCTAACATAGTTGAGTATCGGAATTATAAAAATCTCAGTTGAGTATTTTTGTTTTGATCAGGGAAGCCTTCAATATTCAAATACTTGCTTGATCTGTATTTCATTCATTATTCTCGGGATGGATGACCTGTTTTTGAATAATCACCGGCAAGCAATAATTTGTTCGTCTCAGACAACGATATTTTTTACCTTCACTTCATTATCAAGTCAAACATAGTGTAGTATGGAGAGGAATAAATAATCGTTATTATTATATTGTTGATTGCACACTAACCTAACATTTTCCACCTCTTGTTCCTATACCTGGCACTGGCGCGGTATTTGCCATTAGAGCACCAGATGGTCCATACACAAATATGTCACTCTGTGGTTGTATTTATATTGAAACTACAATTCGAACTTCCTCGAAAATTGAATAAACCTGCTGTTAATATACAGGTAGAATATTCTCACCACACGGATTATTTGTCAATATGTGTTGCATTGCATACATATGGCACGGCATTGGTCATCTTCATTGATATACACTGCTCGCCAACAGCTATGAAACCACTCCAATTTCCGGAAAATGATAGGAGTCAAAATAGGTCGAAAATCACTTCGGATTCGGAATCAGGACGCCCAATTTCCTAACTATTCATAGTTTTCCTAGAAAATTTTCAGTTCAGGAAAATTTAATTTTGTCTCACTTCTCATGGAAACACCCCCGTATCGCACGTAATAATTGAGGTAGGATTCTGAAATTCGCGTGATGAAGGAAAAGTTCAAAGATGAAGTCAATCACGTAAGATACGGGGGTGCTTCCGTAAAAAGTGCGACAAAATTCAAATTTTCAGAACTGACATTTTTCCAGGAAAAATATAAATATTTCGTGAATTGGGCGCCCTGATTCCGAATCGGAAGTGATTTTCGACCTATTTTGACTCCTTATATCATTTTCCGGGAATTGGGGTAGTTCCATGGCTGTTGGCGAGCAGTGTATATCACTGAAGTTGACCCCACTTGATCATAGAGTGCATTTTTAGTATATCTCTCTCTCCAGCAAATTTCAGGATCCTTACCCAACGATTACGGAAGATACAGGGGTGTTTCCATTAGAAGTGGGTCACACTGTATGTTTCACATGGCAAAAAAGAAGATGTAATGCCTTGGCTGGTTTAAATATTGGATTAAATATTGTAATTTTCTGCCTAGTAAAACAAATATTTATTCTCTCCGATTGGCAGCAAATATTAATTTTGCTGACACATATCAATCAGCACAGTATCACTTTTCCTGCCTAGGCAGCAAAGTGGGTACTTTCCTGCCTAGGCAGCAAAGTGGGTACTTTGCTGCCTAGGCAGCAAAGTGGTTGCTTTGCTGATTGATATGTATCAGCAATAACTATTTTCTCCAAACGGTATAGGAAGTGGCTTTTCTATGACTCTTAACAGGTGTACTTCCTATGGCGAGGCAAAAAAGTTTTGTTTCTACGCAACGTTCCAAGTAATTTGAATGAAATTGGCTATCAAAATGGACACTGACATTGAGTGAATACCTAATGAAGGAGTTTTCAATGAAAAAATTGCACTAAATTGGTTTTATAACATTTGGAGAAAAAATTATGTGTTTCACACAGCAGCAAATGTAGAATGACTGCGTCAGCTGATAGTTCATATAGCTGAGCGTCAATCTACTACTTTGCTGCCTAGTAAACCAAATAACTTGTTTTTTTATATGTCTTGGTTGAGAACCAAGGAAAATAAGGTAGGAATTGGTGTTCTTCCTAAATTCATGGAGGTTAGGTGCCCTTGGCAATGAGTTCCAGAGCCTCGTTGTTCGTTAGATGAGCGAGTCTTTAGAAAGAGATATTCTGCAGGTCTCAGACAGAAACAGAAATCCAAGTTTTTGGGATGCACTTTTAGCAATTGATCTCACGTGATTTTCCCAAGAAGAGAAAAGGCATCCCTGTGTTTAGTTTGCATTGAAATCTACCAAGTTATTGGATCCCCATTCGAGAATCGGATATACAGGGTGTATCTAAATAACACCGAAATAATTCAAGGGGTAATTCCTTGTGATATTTTGGGAAATAAAGTTTATATAAACATGTGTCCTGACTTGTTTCGTTTTCGAGATACAGGGTATTAGTATTTCCATGAATTTTTTTGTTTTTCTGTTCATTTCTCAATTGTCTTTTCATCAATTTCAATGAAACGTTTTGGTTTTGTTAATAGTATATGGAGCTTCTTCTAGTGCGATTAGATTCGAAATAATATTTCCAGTGGCTTCACAGAGGGTTATTTATCGATATTCTTGGTGAATGTCATTGTACGCCACCGGATTTTCTAAGTTTCATATTTTTATTAGATTGAACTATTGAAATAACAACTGTTTCATCTTCTGTGTGATTTGTATCTAGCTTAGTTTTTGAGGAAACAATAAGAATTCGATTTCACTCCAAATTTTAAAGTATAGGTGTTTTCGAGACTTCCATTGAGATTACACTATAACTCCAATTAGAATCATTTTGAATCTTCTGTAGTAGTCCATACTCAAAGTGGAGTGGAATGATCAATAGAGAAAAACCCAAAGTCGTCTCCACAATTTTTAATGTATAATCAGGCAGTCAATCCTGCTTCATTAAGGTTGATACATGTTTCGGCCATTCAAATGGCCATCTTCAGTCAAAAAGTATATAACAAAGTGTATCTACAATAGAAAACCAAACATGATTTTATATATAAGAAAAATTGAAAATGGAAAAGACAACAGTTGTAAGTTCAAATTGAATTGATTAAAAAATTTTCAGTTAGATCAAAGAGCAACAGTGATTTTTATGAGTATACAATGATAATTGATCAGTAATTGATAATAAGAAGTGAAAAACAAAATTTTCATCAAATCAAAAATTCTGAAGAACAAAATGGAGAACCATAGATAAGAAGGTTGTACTGTTTGTAATACAAATAATAAATGATGATGATGATACGTGAGTACAACCTTCTTATCTATGGTTCTCCATTTTGTTCTTCAGAATTTTTGATTTGATAAAAATTTTGTTTTTCACTTTTTATTATCAATTACTGATCAATTATCATTGTATACTCATAAAAATCACTGTTGCTCTTTGATCTAACTGAAAATTTTGTAATCAATCAATTCAATTTGAACTTACAACTGTTGTCTTTTCCATTTTCAATTTTTCTTATATATAAAATCATGTTTGGTTTTCTATTGTAGATACACTTTGTTATATATTTTTTGACTGAAGATGGCCATTTGAATGGCTGAAACATATATCAACCTTAATGAAGCAGGATTGACTGCCTGATTATACATTAAAAATTGTGGAGACGACTTTGGGTTTTTCTCTATTGAGAATCATTTTGAAATTTCGGGGTTTTCTCAGTCTCCATCCATACTTACTGAATTTTGGCACCATGCAATCTTATACAGGGGGGTTATGAATTAAAACAATTAATACTTCCAACTTCAACATCCTGTATCTCAAATACGGAGCAGGTTAGGAGACATGAACTTTATTTGCTAGAATGTCACAAGGAAACACCCCTTGAACTTATTGGGTGTTATTTAGATACACCCTGTATAGATGAATTTCGGCCAGTACTGCCAGTAGAAAACAGCTCTTGCTCATACCACAGCTCATTCCTTATAATTTCAATGAAATCCAATGCCTGATAAGTCAAGTCAAAAGTGCTGATTTCTGGTTTCGAATTTCGAATCAATAAACACCCATTGTTCAACGCCCATATATCAGCAAGAAGTCGTGATATATACTCATTTTCGTCGATAACGGCCCCTTCATAACATCAACAATGGAGAGATATTGTTTAAACAAAGGTGATTTAATGGTTGCGCACTCTTGAAGGATACGCATCTAAAAAATATAATCCAAACAAAAATATGGCACTCTACATTCGAGTCGAGAGATTACCTTATTCAATGCTGACGTATTCATAACCGTGTGATATATCGTTTGCTACGAAGGTATAGAACGAATATGCGATATTGTTTTATACAGGATGTTTCATAACTACAGTACGAAACTTCAGATGGTGACTCGTCAGGTCGTTTTAAGAAAATAAAGTTCCTATGAACATGAATGTCTAGAGTTGCTTCGTTTCTGAGATACCGTAGTTATAGGAAACACCCTGTATATGAATTTCGAGAAACAAATTATATTTTATGCTTTGGTTGACGTTGAAGAAATGATTGACAGTTGCAGCAGTTCGCAATGTATTTCAAACCACAACATTTTATTAAATAGGTACTCTTTGTATAGGTTTATCGTCGAGAAGGTGTGGAATTCATATTAATTTCTCTATTTTTTCGAGACCATTTTGTCTCTGTAAATGAAAATATGAATGTTATTTTTTGGGCTCATGTTTATAAAAACTTCTTTTACTATTCTTGTTTCTAGAATCTGTAGTTGGCATCTTTCTATGTAATTTCGGGACACCCTGTATACTAATAGAATCGATATATTTCGAAAATTGACATATAACCTCAATAAAGTACATATACGTATAATATTTGAAATGAGAAGGAATAGCTCTACCGATTAGGCAAATAAAATATAGAGTGTTCTGTTTAAAAAATGCCAGCTTATATCAAAAGTTGAAGTTTACGATGCGTTTTTGCATTTCCCAGTACTGAATTCTGAACGCTCATAAAAAATACATCATATTTGCCTCTTCAAACGTTTTTGTAAGACCTATATTAACTGAGATAACTAGCTGTTGGGTAACATATAAACAATCACCCTGTCGTACATAGGTTTTTCAAAAACATCTTGTATACACTGCAACAAGAGGTTGAAAATTCGTCAGATTTAACTTAGAATTTCGAAATTTCGGAAAGTCTTCGATCAAATTCGAAATTTCCACGGGAAAATCGAAATTTTGACATAACAGTCGAAATTTGGAAATCAAAGTCGAAATTCCGAGATGTGCGTCGTACGATCCATTGAAAAACAAGAAACCCAGGTTTCCTTACAACTTCTGTCTTTCTACTGTACTGTGATGAATGAATAGTAGAAAAATAGATACTGTGGTTAATCGAGGAGGTGGCACATTCATTATTCCAAATTTTTTGGGATTTTCTCTCCTCGTTTCTATAAAATAAAAATATGAATATTATTTCAATATACGTGTAGTAAGGACAAATCAGATGATTTGCCCCAAAATGTCACTGCGTTTAAAGAATTTTCCTATCAGAGAGCCTAAAAGAAAAATTCACTAGCTTGTCAGTGACAATTTGTATTGAAAAGTTTTTGGAGAAGAGAAATAAAGGTATATAGAAAAAATATCAAATTTTCACTTATCTTTGGACGTTTCGGGACCGATTCTGCTCCCGTTTTCAACATGAAGAGATTTTTTTCAATTGCGAAGTCGTATTATATGTCTTGAAATAATATTCATATTTTTATTTTATAGAAACGAGGAGAGAAAATCCCAAAAAATTTGGAATAATGAAGTAGAAAAATAGATTTCTAGAACACTTTTGTGTGAAAAATATATTCCTGGTAGAGGTCGCTGCGAGAAACTGTGTTAGATTTATTGGGATTTGAAATAATCGATGCATTTGAATCAGTTTTTTGTGGGGTCACTTGGAGGCCTTAGTTTATACGGTGCCAATAGAAAGCTAAGATCAACTTCGTCAACGGATCATTGCTGACGTTATACAAAATACACCTGGTATAATGGAACGTGTACGTGGGTCTATGAGACAACTGGTAGACGCATGCATAATGATGCCACTTTGAACAATTTCTTCAATCAATTCCCTCAACTAACTGTTTTGGTATTTATTTGGTGTTATTATTTTTAGTATTAAATAATAATTGTAATAACATCCGATTCCTATTTTAAAATGAAATTAAAGAAAATGATTCCCCTGAATGAATCGATTTTGAATTCCAACTTCTCATTCCAAATCACTTGCATAGAAATCTGTTTTCCTACTATAGAACGTGATATAGGTACGCCGAGAGGTACGCACAAAAATGTTATGACTTTTCAAAAGACTCAAGAGACATGTAGGTAGCGCCACCTTCAGGAAAGAGACAAACTAACAGAAAATTTGATATTGTCATCGAAAAATACCCGGAGATTCCAAACTTAATTCGAATATCACAATTATTTTGAAATTTATGGACAAAAAAAAAGAATAAGAATTCAACTTTGACACTCTGTATCTCAGAAACGAATAACTCTCGGACATATATTCATATGAACTTTTCGTCTTATTTTGACGTCAGCAACATGCTCCTGGATTTTCTACACGTACTCAAGAAACACCCTGTACACAGGAAAAATATTATTTTTTAGTTCAAGGTTTTTGTCTCTAAATATATACAGTGTGTCCCACTTACCATGCTCACCATGGGTATCTTTTTAACGGTGAGAGATACGAGGTCGGTTAAATGACACCAAATGTGGAGTTTGTCAAGGCCAATTATAATGTGAAAAAATATTTTGATAAAATCTATTCGTTTTTGTTTTATATGCAAAAAACGGATTTTGATCATTTTCATGTCTCCTCCGTAACTTCTTTATTTATAAAAAAATTTAAATAGGAATTTCACATTCTCATGGCAAATTTTCAAAGTGATTTCGGAAAAAATAAGAAATTTATACCAACTCTTCTAGAATTTGAGATATCAGCAACAACTTTAGTTTTTCAAATGTAGCTCACTATGACTTAGTTACAAATAACTTTTTTTTCTCTCACAAATGATATGTCGCAGTAATAGTTTTGTGTTGATAACAACGGAGTTATTGTCATTTATACAAAAACAAAAAATTATTTGGAAGCCGCCATCTTGAATTTATAAATTTTAACAAAAAATCATGATCTCCGACCTCAAAAACCCCTACTCACCGATTTTGAATAAAATCGGACCAAATCTTGTCCGCCATCTTGGAGCAGCCATTTTTTCAATTTCAACAAAAATTCCATAATGTATTGTCACCTATGAACACCTGCCAAATTTCAGGGTAATCGGAGTTATGGAATTTTTGTTAAAATTTAAAAAAATGGATGCTCCAATATGGCGGACAAGATTTGGTCCGATTCGGTTCAAAATTGGTAAGTGCGGATTTTTGAGGTCGGAGATCATGATTTTTTCGTTAAAATTCATAAATTCAAGATGGCGGCTTCCAAATAATTTTTTGTTTTTGTATAAATGACGATAACTCCGATGTTATCAACACAAAACTATTACTGCGACATATCATCTGTGAGAGAAAAAAATTTATTTGTAACTGAGTCATAGTGAGCTATGTCCTACATTTGAAAAACTAAAGTTGGTGCTGATATCTCAAATTCTAGAAGAGTTGGTATGAATTTCATATTTTTTTCGAAATCACTTTGAAAAACTGCCATGAGAATCTGAAATTCCTATTTGAATATTTTCATAAATAAAGAAGTTACGGAGGAGACATGAAAATGATCAAAATCTGTTTTTTGCGTATAAAACAAATACGAATAGAAAATATTTTTTCACATTATAGTTGGCCTTGACAAACTCCAGATTTGGTGTCATTTAACCGACCTCGTATCTCTCACCGTTAAAAAGATACCCATGGTGAGCATGGTAAGTGGGACACACTGTATTTGCATATTCCATTCAGGCTCGTCCGAAAGGTGAAGGCAAAACACCGTATCAAGGCAGGAAAAGGTGTTTCGGCGAATACAAGTGTCCGAAATGCAAGAGAAAATGGATGTCAGGGAACTCGTGGTCAAATATGGGCCAGGAGTGTATAAAGTGTCACATCAACGTCTTTCCACACAAACAAGTAAGTCTGATGTAGATTGTAGATTGTAGATTGTAGATGGGTCGTATAGGCTGGGAAACCTCTCGATCACTGCGACCAAGAAGATCTATTGTGATTACCCCTATCTAGTTTTGGTCCTCTAACCCTAGACTTCTGATGAAGCCTACGATTTTCCTGACGGTTGACTTTTCCACTTCAGCAGGGGGAGATAGACCTGTTCTAGGTGGTTCAGCCTTTGGCGGACTAATACTTCACATGAGAAAAGTATGTGTTCCGCGGTTTCGGTCGCATTGTTACAAAAGCGGCAAGTGTCAGTCTCCGCCAGACCCATCTTTTTGAGGTGTTACCTCAGAGGGCCGTGTCCTGTGAGAAAGCCTGTGATAAGCTGTAGCTCTAGTTTGCTGAGGCTGAGTAGCTCTTTGGCTCGGTTCTGTGAATGGTTGATGAACCTTTTCGCTTGTCGTTGACCTGGAGTTGCTCTCCAGTAGGAGGACTTTTCAATGTCTTCCCATTTTCCGAGTTCTCCCTTTAGGAAGTAAGTCTGATAGTCTGAATACTATAATGGCGTCATTAATTCATAGGGTCATTCATTGAAGAGGATATACCGTATTCAGGTTAAAATAACCCCCCCTGTGAAAAATCAACCGCGCCATCAAATGACCCAGTATATGATTGTGATGATGCTCACTCGAAATATGCTATTGAATAAATCGTTGATATACAGGGTCACATCGAAGTGCACCTCAACTTCCTTATTTGGAAAGGAACACCCAGTATATTATTCCAGATATTCAAGTAGAGTTCATTATTACAAATTCAACAATGCTGGGTTTGATGGGATTTTTTCAAACGACTACGAAGATATAACAAGAAATAAAACGATTCAATAAAAAATTCATATGATTAGATTTAATTTAATATAACACGATTATAATCGAATGATAATAAGTGTCCTGCACATAACTACAGAAAAGAAAATTTGTCTCGATGGTGATAGCAACTCCGATCGCCAGACCTCACCCATTTTATCTGGGACACGGTGTATACTATACATCTTTACAACTTTACATGGTGGAAATACTTTTTCAAAAAAACCCACTGGATTTTTGTGAAAGAATGAAATTATTTATAGTGCCCGTCTAATGTCTTCCCTTCTCCCCCCTATGCCCCTCCCCATACTAATTCTCGAACTATGGCACCTCTGGTATATCGCAAAGCAATTTTAAATTTTGAGAGGAAGCTACTTCTTCATCGAAAAATGACAGCTTGAAGTTTTGAAATGACAGCTGAGCGCCATTTTGAATTATTGTTTCAAATTGAACCCTGTTCCATTTTTCAAATCTTCCCATAAATCTCATCAGTTTTGACAAATACACTTTATTACTGAATTCATTTGTTTATTGTTTTCGCAATACTAACATTTGAAAAGTGCCATTTTGTCCATTTCAAACCCAACCAAAAACTTGTTGCTTTAAATTCGTTGAATTTGACAGTAAACAGGATTTCACCAAGACAACGATTTTTTTCCATAGCAAACCTGCTGATTGAAAGCAACATTCGAGTTGGAGTTTTTCAATTTTTATGGAGAATAATTCAGAACCTACATGAACTTATCGATTAACATCTTAGAAAACATGAAATAAATAATATCGATTTTATTTCACCCCATTTTTTAGGACTCATCACCCTCAAAAAAACCTTAATTATAAAAAACAAACAAAAAGCAGACTTCATAGATGATGTCAATAACTGGAGTACCCTTTTCGAAAAACAATTACAACTTACAAGAACAACCGTGAAATTGCGTGCATCGGTCAGAATTCTCAACAGGGTGTCAGGGTGTTTTAAACTAAACTAAACTAAAATAAACTGTTTATTGTACCAGTATTTCACCCAAAGAAGCTACACACACTGGCACAATTAGGGAAACGGGTAAAATTTACACTAACTTTGACATCAATTTTCTCTCGAACCTATCACTCTATTCAAATTTGTTTTTTACGAATTGTAGCTTCATTCTACACGAATACATCTGAGAAATAACCACCTCCAAACGATTCGTCTTTATATCATATACAGGGGTGTAAAGAAAGTACGGATTTTTCGGTATTCTTTGAGACATCCTGTGGAGTGAACCACTGATAATTGGAACGATTTTTCAACACCAAATTATAGCCCAATCTATCCCGAATATTTTCGTTTTTTATTCATCTTGATATCCCAATTATCCAAGAAAATATAGAGTTTCAAAGAATAGGTGGATATTGGTATTAATTTTACCACCTCGAAACTCGAACTGGGGAGAACGTGTCGTTTTTCAACTTGTTTCTGTGAGGATTTTTACTTCAAGATGAGAATTGTTCACAGTTTTACCTATCGGAATATGCAGGGGTGATAAAAGTTGCTCCAATGTTCTTTTGGTGAAATGCTATTTTTGTTAATCAACGTTGCCTCTTTTGTTAATGTCATTAATTATTGTCAAAGTCAAGCGATTCACCATTCATAAATTTGATTAATGAAAATTCAACATGAGAGATTTCACTCCTACTGATGTGGCGAGGGCTGTAGCATTAATTGAAAATGACCAGTGGACGAATGTTCTTATGACATATGAGAGCCGCATCTGCACCAATTCAATAGATTTTTTTTTTATCGCTTGGAGCGCACGAAAGGGAATCCCTATAATGTTCAAAGAACATCGTGCGTTCCTAGGGAGGATAGGGACAGGAGGTAGGTATTGGAATTTTTTTTTGAACTTTTGGAGATTATATGTTGTTGGGAATACTTCCACAGGCAATGAATTCCAGAGCCTAGCCGTTCTATGGATGAAGGAGTTTTGATAAAGTGCTGTTCGACATCTTTCGAGGTTGACAACGAAAGGATGTGCTGACTGGGCTTGTTTAGTTCGTCTGATTGGTATTGCTAGTGAAGGGATGATAGCAGAGATTTCCGAAGAACATTTCCCGTGAAAGTATCGATAGAAAAGTGAAAGGTCGCCGACCTTTCTACGGTGTTCCAATGGCAGGGAAAGACTATATCGCCGAGGTGAACAAAATGAACAATTTGATTTTACTGCTTCTGTGTCCTATGGCAGAGGTTTAGTCATGGTTAGGTTAGGTTAGTCAAGAAAGGACACATTTTCAGATCCAATTTGAGTTTTGAGGTGTAAAATTGATACCAATATCCACCTTTCCTTTGAAACTCTGTATTTTCTTGAATAATTGAGATATCAAGATGAATAAAAAACGAAAATATTCGGAATAGATTGGGCTCCAATTTGGTGTTGAGAAATCGTTTCAATTATCAGTGGTTCAGTCCACAGGATGTCTAAAAAATTACCGAAAAATTCGTACTTTCTTTACAGCCCTGTATATGATGGAAAGACTCATCTTTTGAAGGTAATTATTCCTCAGATGTATTCGTGAAGAATGGAGCTACATTTCGTGAAGAAAAAATTTTGAATCGAGCGATCGGTTCGAAAGAAAATTGATGTAAAATTTAGTGTAAATTTTGCCCGTTCCCCTAATTGTGCCAGTGTGGTACTATGTTAGCGTAACATGTCGCTTGTCTAAGAATTTTGTTTGAATCATCATCGCATGTGAAGTTTTCTTTCTCATTTTCTCATTTACTATGGATTTCCATAAAGTAACCGCCAAGTCAATTCAAAAAATTCTGAATAATTGTTCATAAAAATTAAAAAATTATATACTTTCCTAAAACACTTCAATACCCGAGTTCAATAGTGTAACAACTCGGAAAATAACCATTTTGAGTTGTATACGCTATCTGCTTCAACATTTTGATAGCTTTCACGTGCTATACTGTAACGATTGTAACAGTTGAAAGTTTCAGTACTGTCTGAGAGATGGTGCTAGTTACTGTATAGAACTGAAAGAAACATTATTTCCATTTATTTCCATACTTCAATAACTCGATACAAGAATCAAGACTTGTTAGAGTTTTGAACTGTGAAATATTTTCAGTGATTCATTGGACTTTCGACCACGGTAATTACCTGATCTAGATTGAAATCCAATATTTAATGTGAAGTTTAATAAGTGTGTGTGAGAAATATCAGGCTCTTTTATCTCTACGCCGGTATTGAGGCCGGATGATGACGCATTCATCGGATAAGGGGGCCATACTTGAAGTCAAACGTGCTCCATTATCTCTACGCCGGCAACCAGGCCGGATCAGCAACGGAATTGCTGGATAGGAGGAGTACATATACGACCGAATCTAATGAACACTGATGACTCGGCTTCAGGCCATTGTGATAGACAATCGGTGTCTTATATGTGGCGAGTCGAGTTATAATATTATTACATAACCAAGTATTTATTCTTGAAAAAAAAATTGATTACCTGATCAGGAGAAATTGTTACCAAAAGGAGAAAGAACTCCAATAAACCCAAAGAGAAGAAGAAGAAGAGTTGCTACATTGCATAGCTCAAGATAGTCGATTTCAACACTCAAAACAAACTTATACATATTAAAATATGTTCTATTATTGTTTTTGCAATGATTGTAGTTATTGAACTTAACTTAAACTTACTCCTCTAATGAAAATTATGATGTTTGATCATAGAGCTTAATATTATCAATTATATTAATAAGATCATTATGACTTGAATTTCCAATTACGATTTTCTCGAAACACTTTTGAACTCGGGTATAATTATCTTTATTATTCCCAAGAAACATATATGTTTATAGTAGGGAAAATTATGAAAGAGCAACTAAAAAACAAAAATTAGATAATCAGATAATCATTTTTAAATCATATACATAATACATATAATGTTGTTTCTTCTAGAGACTGTTGAATATAATTTCTTGAATTGATTCAGGATGATATAAAGAGAATCAAAGACATAAGTATTTTTTCAGTTCTTTTTTGAATTTCTCAGCACCTAATTCTTTCTTTAGTATGGCAGGTAATTCATTGTAGAGAATTGTTCCATCGTATAAAATAGATCTTTTACCCATATCTGATTTAATTTTGATGAGGGTAAACATATCTTTTTGTCTGGTTATGTGTTCGTGTTTATGACTATTGACTTCAAAATTCAGATGATTAATTTTCCTTATAAGGAAGATATTGACGTGAATAGAAAACCATTGTCTTGAAAATAGAAACACTCCAATCCAAAACATAAAGAAGCTAACATCGACCATCCGAAACAAATTCACGAATTTTTCGGAATACCACCAGAAAGTTACAGGGCAAACAATTGGCAATTTTTTTTGTCCGTTTTTTTTGTTGGTAACCGCGAGCTCGCAAGATGCGTCGTGGCTTGTTAATTTTTTTGATGAACTTTTTTCTTTTGCAGAGACCTCTGGAAAAACCTGATGGCTTAGATGTTTCGGACCAATCCAAAGTTCATCCCCAGCATCTGTGCCAGAAGTGCAAGGAGCTGGGGTATTATTGCAGGAGAGTTCAATAGAATATTACAAATCTCATGCCTAATAGATCGCAGAAGAATTTCGAATTAAAAATCTCTCAACAGTGCTATTCTGCGATTTTTTTAGGATTTAGGAATGGAATTTGTGATATTCCATTGATTTAATTTTAGGTACTTATTTGTTTTCAATTATTTTTTTATCGCACTATAAAAGTTGTATTATGTATATTTGATTTTATGTTTCATATTTTATTAGCTATTTTAATTTTCAATTTTTCATTTATTTATACTTTTTATTTTTTTACAGGAATAATATAATGTACTTAAAATCTATGTAATGTTACCAATATTCTGAGGAAGTTAAAATGTTTATTTTCCCAAGAATTTTTCTTCTTCGTATTTCATAACACACGGACGTGAATCAGTGAGTATAGAGAGTAGATAACGAAAGTATGAATGAAAATGTGCTCACGAACGACCGTAACACTGGTTTAAGAAAATTAAAAATTTCGTTCTTCCTCTAAATCCACAGTTCTTTCCGAAACTAGCCGACTTTGATTTTTTCGGACTTGACATGGGCGCACCAAAATATTTCGACATGGCTAAGATAAATGAATGAATAGACAATAGAGAACTTATTAATAATCATTACTATGAAAACAACATACTATACATGGACATTTTTCTTGAATTACCCACGTATAAAGGCCGAAATGAGATGAAATTCAACTACACTTATGATTAAACTCACCTAGCAACCGCTTCATGAACATTATTTATGATACGTCGCTGGCGCGCTTCCGTCGGATCTATTTGTGTTTAGGAGTGCTATGTCAAATGAATGATACAATAGGGGAAAACATCGCATTTTTTATGTTCTAGTTCCCACGAAAAGGGATATCCTGTAATGTTCAGAGAACATCATGAGAACCAAGGGAAATAAGGTAGGAATTGGTGTTCTTTTTACATTTCTGGAGATTATATGCCTCGGGAAACACCTCTCCTGGAAATGCGTTCCAGAGCCTCGCCGTTCATTGGATGAACGATTCTTAGGAAAGAGATGTTCTGCAGGTCCACAGTGACCACGAAGAGGTGCGAAGCCTCATCTCGACGGGTAAAGAAAGTGAAATAGCTCCTGGCCCGAAACAGAAACCCAAGTTTTTGGGATGCGCTTTTAGCAATTGATCTCACGTGATTTTCCTAAGAAAGGTTATTGCTGATAGTAATCTCAAAGAATCAAGTAAAATGAATGTACCACCTCCTCGATTAACTCACAGACAGTAGTAATACCAAGCATCGAAATGGATGTCTTCAAAGGTATGGTTAATCCTGCAAAGCTTATGTTGGGCAAAGTGAGATCGGCTTTTCTAGAGAAAAGGCATGCTTGTGTTTTGTTTGCATTGAAATCTACCAATTTATTGGATCCCCATTCGAGAATTGTTGCCAAGTCCATATTTTTATTTTGTCAACATTTCTTTCTCGTTCGTTTCTGATTTGCCTGGCTGGTATTGAAGCCCTGGAAGAGAAGGCGGTATGGAGAGTACTATCATATAAGAGTATATCAGCGGGAAAACGGGAAATTGGGATGCTTTGATAATTGAACATTCTCTATCCGTCTAAAATATTTTCATCGATTCAGTGTTGCCACTTCTATCAGAAACAACTAGCAACGTCGTTATTTTAAATGGAGCACCCTGTACTTTATTGCATTTTTATATTATTCCTGAAGAGCTGATTTCATCAATGTATCACACTCGGGGTCTAGCAGGTATGATTACAGAGATATAGGTAGGGTGTTCAAAATCGAGATTTTCAATTTTTTTGATTTTTTTTGTGTCGAGACCATTCATTATCGATCGAAACGACTTTCATGTCCCTATCTCAACTTACAATTCACTATCCACTGACATTCAATTGGAACAGATACAGGGTGGTCAGAATTCTGAATCTTGAAGACTTCATGCAAAGCCGGACAATCTGGGAATGGGAAACATGTTGTAACTGTTCTTTTATATGTCCAATAAAGGTTCATATGATTCAAATCATATAAGTTGAAAGGATGAACATGAGAGTGGCAACTACGACTAACAGACGTCTCCAAGTCCGAGCTTCATCTTCTTTCATAATGACGAAATTTACATGAGCTCGATAGGAAATTTGATGCTATTTCAATATATATATTCAATACATGATGCTCTCTGTCTCTGAGTAATACGTAAAATATGAATTATCTGCGAATACCGACGAAACGCTATTTTTCGAAAAGTACCAAAATTTGGTAAATTTTCTACTGGCTCTATCTCCGCACCCTTCAGTCCTACATCCATGAGCAAGGACAATTTTATATAGGAAATTTTATCTACTTCAACTTTTTATAGGGCGGTCTTTTCGATATAATGAATGATTTCCGAGTTACGGGCAAACATTTCGCTGTTTTTTGCTAATATCTCGGAATGCCCTAGGAAATTTTGTTTGCGAAATACAGATTCGAATTCAGCACCTCCAATAACATAATATAAAACCACAGAGAAACCGACTACTCGAATTTTTTCCCGGATTTGGTCCTAATCGGTACCGTTTCACTGAGCTAGTAGTCAATAGCTATATAGCTAACAAGAAGTGAAAATTGCCTATAAAGGTCGCAGGTTCGAACGCGGCGACCGGCCACCTTTTTTTTTTTAATTTCAGGTCTGACTGTATACAGACATCGGTCCGGCCGTTTCAATTCCATTTATTCAATAAAAACATTTTTACAATACAAGGTGTATAAACAAAAATCTTCTAAAGGGGACATTGGACATGATAAAAATGTAAAACATACAATGTAAAACACTTAGATACGCCACAGAATTACCCTCCAAGGGAGCCCTCAGAGGCAGCCGATGCAGGCCTTGCCGATGATTTTTGTCTAACAACCCTGATGGGAGTCATGAGGGAGCTGACTCCTAGGAGTAAACCTTTAATCCAGCTCATGTCAGTGAGTTGCCCATTGCAAAAAAGATTGATCGTCGATTGCTACCTTTTTCTCTCTAATTTAGCATTTTTTGTGTTGGCCGTCGGCCTGAGTGACCTATTGACGTCTGACGTCTGACCGACGTCGTTTGCCGATCTTTTGCCGCGTCGGCAACTTCTGGCAAGCATCAGGTTTTGGGCCGATGTAATACCGTTGATTGATATATTATGCTTACGCTGGGTAAGCGTAATATATCAATCAACAGTAATACGTAATTGTTTGCTGGGGGACCAATTTCGGCTTCAAATGGGTTTGTATTGACCTCAGGACTGTGTGCTGAGATTTTGTACAGACCTTTTAGGGGCACCCTGTAGAATTAATTAACTTCATTGTGAATAAAAATTCACACTGCAAAAGTAAAAGCGATAAGATAAGACACGATAATCTCAATCGATATAAAAGAAAGAAACAGATGATTTGGAACATCATCAGTATCAAAAATTCAAAATGGGCATTATAAACTCAAGGAGAAAGGTAAAATCAATATTTTGTTACTAATATCTAGACATATTATATTATTCCTATAATACCTGCTGAGTACTGAATACAGTTATAGGCAGGGGTGTCTTTATCTAATTTGATTTTTTAACTATTCAATATTCACAAATAACTGCTCACCAATTTGCGGGAAAAAATACGGAACATAGTACGGAACAAACTGAGGCGGGTGAGCTAATTTTTTTTTATTTCTCGAATAGAATCATCACTCAAACACCTTTCGATTACAAATTCTTTTATAGAATTTTTCGGTCGATTTTTAGGTGCTAAGATCCTCAATAATGCCACAGAAATTTTCATATGGATCATTCTTTGGAAGTAATCAAATATCTGATGTCACTTCTGTCAGTCTAATTCTGTGATTTGATTTCAAAAAATTGCGAATTTATTCGTGGTTGTTTACTTAATATAATGTAACCGCGAAGTCGAATGGAAGATAAAAAGACTTGCAGTTCTTTCTCGGAGACGGTATTATTGACTCATTTTTCGGAACTATAGCACAACAGAAGCTATCAACCGTGTATATATATGTGATATATATTCGGGAAAAAAGTACTCACTTTTTTCCCTTGGGGATTTATGAAAAGTGACTGTTATATTATGGTCATAATTCAATAAACACGAGCACAAATGACATGGACAAGGGTTACACTTGCTCATAACTATGCTGCCTGCCGAATACTGTATGAGCCAGTCTTCACACACGTCTGTCAGAGGCTCTGATCTAAGCACATTCCACTGATAGCAGTAGCGCATCTAGTTGCTAGATGCTAACAGTGACATTTTATAACCTGCCAATAGAGATGAAATTCCAAACTTTTTTCCCGTCACAGAAAAAAATGTTGTTTGATTCACGTAAATATATTGAGTGTACACCACAGAACTCATGATCTTTATATCCTGAGATCTTTGGTGTGCACCAAAGGACCACGCACACATTATGTGGGAAAATGTATTTCGGTGAAAATGGCTAGATTTTTTATATGTTGTAGTTGAAGTCATTCTGAGTAAAAGACTCCATTGGCCCAACTCGATCGTATGACCAGATTCGGCGCTAGAGGGTGAAACAACAAGAATTTCGTGTATCTTCGAGATTGCGGAGCTCAATGAATAATATGAAAATCTCGTGATATGGATTCACCCCAAAATGAAGATGAAGGTAAGTATGTTTCAAGGGTACAGAGAAGATGCAATAGCCTTTTTACAGGGTGGTCTTCAGAGAATGCGAATGTAATCGTCTACGAGACTTGGCTGATTTATTGAGTTCATCAATGACCATTGATCAGGATGAATGTTGACCGAAAAAAAAAAGAATTTATTATGAATACAGAGTGATCCAAATATCGGAAGATCCAATATGTCCTCTGATGTTATTCTCTGAACCCTATTCTCGAAATACAACAAAAGGAGGTTCACGTACATTCTCGTCATCACTCTCTGTTCGCTTTGCTATTATAAAGAGGAATTTGAAAAAATAATGACGAAATGTTGATCAATGTTTCATTGATGTGCATTATTAGGGTGTGTCCCAGCGAGCACAAAAACATCTCAGAGATGTTAAAAGTACGAGATTTCGAGACATTGAACCTCCACTGCGATGTTCTGTTCACACATGAATAGAACTATTATAGAACAGCCAATGTCCGCCGCAGGCGGCAATTATCGAGATGTCCTTGATATGTCTCAAAACTACCTTCTCCCTAGTTTTTTTTAAAGCCTTTTCATGGACACAACAGAACATTTTCAACGCGTCTTGCGCACATTAAATCGCTGTAAAAAAACTATTTTCGAGGTACTTTTCTGAAGCCTTTTGTCAAAATGAACTTTTGCATTAGGATTCCATTTCCCTTGAATGAAAAAATGCATTTAAAATAGATTGAACATAAAAATATTGTCTTGATATGAAATTACCTTCTTAATCGGTTTCTGAGTAGTGCTTACTACACACAGACATATAATTGGAAATAGGTTTCCCAATTTTTGAAATGTTCTCCACAATGCATAATTTTGCACCAGCGGAGAAGCTGTGTATTGATAAATTCGTACTTTTATATATTGATTACACTGAGGCACCGAACAACACATCTTGCATCTGATAATCATTATTACAAACTAAATAAGTCTTCTAACACAATAAACTTCACCAAATTCCTTTCTGTTCGTTAGCAGCGTGATGTAAGCGTGACACGCTGCAAACGCGAATGCCAATTGCGAACAAGAAGAACAAAATCGAAAACAAATCAGAATTTATCGTATTGTGACGTAAGCATGAGACGTTGTGGTGGGGCAAACAAAGAAAGGGCACAAAAAAACAAAAACAATACTTTCAATATCCTTCTAAGACCTCTTTGGGAAGTGCATATTACGCCTCAAAAAAACATCCTCATGCCTACATTTCTAAAACATCCCAAATCATCCCAGGGATACCTCTCAGTAGGCAAACAAAGAAATGCCACAGACGAACAAAAACAATACTTCAATATCCTTCAGAGACCTCTTTGGTCAGTGCATATTACGTCTCAAAATAACATCTTCATGCCAACATTTTCAAAACATCCTAAAACATCCCAGGGATATTTGTGCTCGCTGGGGTATGTGTCCACGAAGTTGTCCCCTCCTAGTTAACTCTTGAACGGCTGTGATTTTTTATTGTTTTCTGTCCCAATGGTAGTTGAGTGCTACAGTTTGAGTCCAACAGGAAATATTGATCTTGAAGTTTGTTTTTAATGGAATGAAGGGTCCAGTGTATACCCCATTACTTCATTTGAAACGTCTTTTAATTAGCTATAAGACACCATCAGCATCTATCATAAAAATGTGATTCTCATGGTTGTTCCCGAATGTATTGAAAGTTTTATGATTCTCCATTTTCCTATATACTATTTTATGATATAGTTTTAAGAAAACGTCATTACAATAAATGTAATGATAATTATTGATATCAATCTATATTTCATCATGATAGACCTTGTGAAAGCTGCCACTGTGAGGGATTGATTTTCAATGGATATACTTCCGGATTCAGCTGTTGACCTCTGTTTTGAAGCATAATGTACTTGTATTGAATTATTGAATTATTGAATTATCCATAATTGTTATCTAGTGGAATTTCGAAATCGAGAATGTATATTATTATGTATATCGCTGCACCTTATCTTGGGAGGAGATAATTTTACTTGATAAAACCCTTCTGTTAGGTTTTGAGATGAAAATCACCTAAGGAGAATCGAGGAAAGTTCGATATCTGGTACCAACGAGGATATCTCAAGTGTAGATCGATCCAGCATCTCTTTAGGCAAGAGATTTCGCTCTTTGCATACATTCTGTGGCGTAATACCTATAATCATTACTGCTCCAGCAATACTATATGAAATCTCCAAGATTGCAGATACAGTGTATCTGCAATCAGAGTGGTTCGACTGAATATTTTAAAAATGGATTTCTTACGGCCATTTATTGCTTCAACAATATCTATCTGTTTTCAGTTGACGTTTTCTTCATTGTAGGAAGGCTAGCATTTTATTGTTGATATAATTCTCAGATAGATGTTCAGCGTCTCTTTACCCGCAATCTGCAATGAAAATGAGACTATTGGCGCATATTCCTAACATCCCTTTCTAATTCATTCCTCAGAATTTCTGCATCATTGGGTATTCCTGGAATTTGAGAAATATGAACCCTAGATTGTTAGTAAGTGGCCAGCTGATGCTATCATCTCATCACTGGCTGTACCAGTCAAACGAACTCGACAAGCCCAGTTCAGCGTTGGAAAGCTTTCCCAAAGTATTTCCACCAAAAGAAAAAACAAACATTCCAATATTGACCTGCCTTTTCCCCCTATATACTTCTTATAGGCATTCACAATGGTTCTTGAACATAATAGGGATTCAATTTAGTGCGCTGCAAGAGATAGAGAAAAATAATCATTTGTGATTTCATCAAATGACTGTAGATCGCAGGTACATACAGATTCGCTAAACATCAACTTGAGAATTTGGGTATCAGGTACCAGGTTGAAATGATCGGATTGACAGGGGCGTATTTACCTAAGGGCCATGGCCCGGGGCGGCAGGCTGCGAGGGGCGGCGCAAGCCGCACCACGCTTAGGTTTTTTTTTTACTTTATTCCTCCGAAGAAATTAGCGTCGGCGGCACACAGTTAGATTACTCCGTGTCGGAACCTTTGATGTCGATGTTCCAATTTTACCTCTCACTCACATGCACTCCTGGGAAACAATAAGCTATAAGAAGTGACTCTGCATACCACAAAGCCTTGGTTAAAAATGAAGCGGCTGGGCTATTAGCTCAACTAAATTCTCTAGAAACTGCCATATTATCGGAATTTTGGGGATCTGTATTAAAACGATTTGGTATAGTTTCCAAAATACTACAAGGTGTCGACACAGACGTAGAAGTAGTTTCCAGGCTTTACAAGTCACTCATTACTTTTGTAGAAGAACAACGGGAATCTTTTGATACTTTTGAAAAGGCTGGTAAAAGAAAATGCACAGAAGAGTACCGGAACATTCACAATAGAATTGTCAAGAGAAAGAAACGAGACGATGAGAGTAGCGAGGGAGAAGTGGTGTTTCAAGGACGGGATCATTTCAGGGTTAATACCTTCTTTCCAATATGCGACCGATTATTGGGCGAGTTAAGGAAGCGAAAAACTTCGTATGAGGCGGTAACCGCCAATTTTGCATTTTTATGCAAATTGGATACAATGTCTGCTTCAGAAGTGAGATTAAATGCCATAAAACTCCAAAAAGTTTACCCTATTGATCTGGCGGATGATTTACAATAAGAAGAATGTGTTTTCTTAAAACAATTCCTGACGTCTCATGAAAATAAAATGAGTTTAAGGCAACTCAGCTTATTTATTAAGCAAAAAGATTTGAAGGAAGCATTTCCATATATTGAAATAGCCGAGGAAATAGCATTACGAATATTTCTGTGCACTGCGGTGACCAATTGCAG